CGATTTGCGAACGACGGAGGTTGCGGCGGTTGACGACGGCGGAATTGAGGAAGCAGCCATGAGCGATGATTTTGGAATGATTGGGAGATTGGAGCGAAAGAAGATGACTTCTCTTTGGTTTTTTTGGATTCGATTGCGCCACGTGGCTATACCTCTATCGAAAGCAGATCTATCCAAAGTTACAGATTTTCGTGACCATATATTTCGAAGGAAGATTATGCTACTAATAAGTTTATGAGATGTAATCATGTAACCAAGCATAGACTTCTCATATTATGTGTGAGTATATATACTTTGTTTACGTTTTCTTTATAGTATTCGCTTTGATAAAATTTGATACACAATTTTTCATAACCACCCACCAACTTCACAAGCCAGTCGTTTATTCATGATCAGCTTTGCATCATATATATTCACAAACGAATCCGGTTCTGTTCGGTCTATTCACTGCCTGGAGTTACGGTTACCGATATCAGAAGCAGCCTTAGCCGCTCGCTCTAACGCACCCGATAGCCAAAGAGCTCCGCTGGAGAAGTAACTGCTATTGACAACGCTAGTTGCAGCTGCGGCCGCGGTTCTTCCTGTGGCGGAGACAGCTGATTTGGCCCTGTCTGAAACATGGTACCTTTGGTCAGTCAATCTTACAGCTTCAACTCCGGCAAAGATTTTGTCAGTGAGACCAATCCTCTGCTCTAGTTGAGATACTCTAGCCGCTGCAGCAGCTGACACTCCATGGGATTCGTCAAAGGCTTTAGCTTTGGTTAAAGCATCTTTGCCTAGCACGAACCCAGTGGCTAGCATTGTTTTCACAACTTCTTGAGCTTTCGTCACTGCTTCTCCGGCGTTGAACTCGCTTTGTTGAGGAGGAGGCTACATGATTGAAGAACGAAAGAGCTTTAGAAAAGAGAATAAGCAGATACAAAATAATCTTTGATCAAACTTGTCAACATGGAGACTATAACTGAACATAATTTAATCTGCGATCCAGTGGCTTATAGAAAGATAAGGGAAATGTAGGAAGAGATCCATACATGTGAGCTTGTTTCATCTTCAAAACCTCGCGGAGCCCCGTTCCAGAAGTCAAACGCTTCGTGATGCTGTCCCCAACGAGTTATGCAAACGCGCTGATCCAATATCGTTGCGCCCTGAAGAAGATATAGAGAATTCCAAAGAAGTGAGTGATTTTTCCAGAGACACACAGAGTAAAAATCAAAAATCAAAACAACACTTACACTGAGTAAAACAGCAGTTTCCTGAGAATAAGAATCCTTGAACATCACATAAGCAGTACAAGCTTGCTCACCCGATCTGGTCTCGTAAAACAACATAACAGAGTTGAAGTCTATCTTGTGATTCCAAAATTAAAACAAAACATCCAATAAGAAATTCACCAAATTTGGTGAAAGAAAGTAAGACTCACTTAACAATATCAATATATTCGATTGCACCAGAGAAGGAGAAGAAGTCAATGAGATCTTTCTCAGTAACAGCTGGAGATAACCCAGTCACTTCCACACCATATCCATTTTGATAATCCATCTTGTTCTGTATCTTAATTCTACCACAAAAGATTTTAGGATTTCTACAGTATCCTGCAATAAAATAAAATAAAAACCCTAAAATTTCAGCATAACCCGAAGACTTCGACACAGATTGATAATTTCAAACTTCAGGAGCTAGACGAAATCGAAACTCGTGAAAATTACGCATATCATCAATTCCTGATCTTGAAATATCAATTCCGGAACACGATTTCAAGCGGCATCAACACCATCGAATTACTCTAGATCTAGAGAATAATTTGAAAGAAAATCGAAAGGATCGAAGTTACCTGTGGGTTGACCA